TTTTCTTGATGGACTCAAGAGTACTTTCACTGTTCTGAGCCATCTTATCTTCTAGCTCCTTTTGAAGTCTTGCCATGTGCTCTTCGATCTTTTCCATTCTGGCTTCCATTTGTCTCTTTTTTGCTCGAGTATTGTGCGGGTGATGTGTATCTGATGCTTGCGGTGGTAAGCTCGGTGTCTGAGACATGTTCTGTTAGTTAATACGAATGTAAAAACATGGAAAGAATATAAAATAACAGACATGAAATATAAAATGCAAGAAATGCAATGCATGATGTATGCAATTGGAGGCATTGATCCAGAAAAGTGTTCATTATTATAAATAACCCTTGTTCAGACAAAAATGTCTTATCTTTTAAGAGACATAAAAACATATTAAAGGTACATTCGGACTAAGTCCTCTAGACCCCGAACAGCTTCCAGTAAGTTGACAAGTCTTCTGCCTTCCTCTGTCACTGGTAGAATGCCTTGTCGAACCACACCAGCTTCCCTTGCTAGGCCGTGAAGATGACGGGCTGCTTTTTGCACTTGATCCAGGAAATCTCTGATGGTTGCGTCTCGGGCCCTCACCCTTCGCTGTGCTTGTTCCCAACGGAAACGCCATTGTAATCCTCCGTCGAAAGGCACTATCTGAAGCTCGTTTGCTTGCCCCTTGAACCCATCTATAATAGCTTCTAACTCAGCTATTGTCTTGTCATCTTTCTCATGTCTTTTTCTAAGTCAGCTATCCGAACTCTCAAGCGCTGGTTCTGATATTGACTATCTGCCAAGCGTCTTTGGGCAGTCTTCATCTGTTCCTTCCAAGCTTTCTCATCAGGCCCCTCAAACTTCCTTTTCAGGCTATGAGCTTCGTCTTTCCAGTATTCAGAGGTTACCTTCAACTTGGAGTTATCTTTGACCTTATCTTGATACCCCTTTCTCAAGTCTTCGAGCTCAAAACGGACTCTTTTTTGTTCTTTTTCTAGTTTTTCTGCCCGATCTTTCTGAGAGTCAGCATCAAGCTTCCACTGATAACGTTCAGCTTCAAGTTCCTTTATTCTTTGCTTCAGCTCATTATTCACGGCTTCAAACTCGGTCTTGGCTATCTCGAGTTCAGAAGGGACATGCCTGAGATGTTCTTCCATGGTCCGGGTGTCATCACAGTCTGGCACCGGGACATTGTCATTCTTTCTCAATCTTCGCCACTCCATATAATCTGGAGTGAGCATGCTTCTGGCAGCTACAACATCCATTCGGAATACTTTCCTCCACGAATCGGCTGCTTCTTTGATCATCTTCTTATAGCTGTCGCCGTGATACTCAAACTCTGACCTAGCTAAACCGCATGTTGCTGGGACAAACTGACGTGCTCCATACTGTCTAAGTGCTAATAGCGGAGCATACCCGACTGCTCCCCAAAGTCCAAGTAAGGTCACAGTGTCGGAGTCACCACACCGAAAAAGAACATCACTGAGGAATAACCAAGGGGCTCTCCAGACAATATCTCGGTCTTGAAGGTGCGTAAAGACCTTCATCCATTTTTCTTTTGAAGCGCCTTCATGCCATTTTAAGGTAATAAATTCACCTAGAGGTGAATAGGTGGTGCTGAAACGGCGGTAGGCAACCCCGTCAGTCTTCCAGAAGTGGCTGTGAATCCAGACCTGAAGGAGCTGAATGCACCCGGTGAATCTTCCTCCGCCAGTTCTTCGGCAATGGTTGAGCGATCGAAAGGTCTCAGCCAAGATGGCTGGTGCTGGGTTAACTCGTTTAGAAAGTTGCTCAAATAATTCCACCACGGCAGCGTCAATGCACCCCAAAGCTTTCGGAAATATGATTAAACCGTACAGACCCAGTGCAAAAAGGTCTATAGTCTTCCACTCATCAGGGTGGTTTTTCATTAGTTGCTTTATATGGATCCACTCGATTCCTTCCCCGCTACCTTTGTGCCGGAGTCGATCAGTCACCCACTTTTCATCAACCCCTGCAATCTTGGCCAGTCCGTTCTTGAAGGGCTGACTCTTGATATGTTTAATATATGCCCTCTCTAGTTTGATGCTTTCGCAGTGCAATAGAGTAGTATACTCTTCGATAGTAGGCACCATGTCTTCCTGGTTAAAGGTGAAACAACTATATCCCGGGTTCCAGAATTGAATTAATGCTCGGAGCAAGGGCTCATCAGTCTTGACATGGAGCAAGAGGGCGATATCACCATATCGTTGGCTGAACTTCTGCTTTCTGTCATTCTTCCAACTGTCCCAAATGTTTCGCAGCTCTTGGACATTATTCTGTTTCAGGCTGACAGCGGCATAACTAACCAGTTCTGACACATAGTTTCCCTGAAGACTGTCTCCCTTCTCCTTCTGAGCCTTCTCGGACCATAGTCGTGCCTCAGCGTTTTCAATCTCTTGTATTACAACACCTTTGTCCATTAATTCGAATTATTTTGTGTATAACAAACGCTTTTTAGGGATCAATAGCCTCTTGTAATGATGCAAATGCTAGAAAACAAACACAAAGGCAAAAACGTTAGTAAAATAAGAATACAAATAAAAAATGACGGAAGAAAAAAAACGCAACAAAAACATGGTTAGGGTAAAAAATCCTAAGTTTTGGAATGTGGTTTTGGGGTAGGCTCTAATTCTTCATGGTCTCCCGGTTTAGGTTTTAAAAAACGGTACCCGAGTTTTCCTTGTCGGTGCCCTCTTGGGCTTGCCAGACCCTTAGTCCTAAACCCATCACAGGCTTGTATGGACTAAGTTAAACTCGAGGGGACACATTCCCTTATGCCCGCACGGTGAATAAATTCACACGAAGACATAAGGTATATGAATCCCGAAGGCTACTTGCTAGGCCCGCACGGTGAATAAATTCACACGAAGGCGTCGCTTTCACCCCCACTTAAAATAGGGTTCGGAGCTCGGGTTTAGAGCCTTAGATGAAAATGTTTGGAAAGCTGAAATCATTAGAAAACGGTCAGTCCAACTATTTACTCGAAAAATATAATCAAAAATAAGTAATAAGGATCGAAATATTACCTTAAAATTTAAACTTACCCTTTTCGTTAAAAAGACAACTGGAAATTACCTTAGCCTGACTCACTTACCTGTGTCCCCAGCGGAGTCGCCAAGCTGTCGGAACCGTCTTTCGGTAATGCCCCGGAATTGGGCTTCGACTTAGGAAAATGGATTGGAGTCGCCACCGATTATTTATTTACAATAAATAGGTTAATCGGATACCCTATACCTTACCTGATCTGCGTCTTACCAAAGATATGTCGGATTCGGGAGTCGGTTACAGCTAAGGAAGGATTAACACCCTTGAACTGCCCTTTCGGTACTATATAATTTCCAGTTGTCTTTAATTAAGAAAGTTGTAAATTTAAATTAAAATGTAAAATGACGATCCAAATTACTTACCTTAGATTGCTTAAATTGTACTCTTAGAAAATCAAGACACATATTAGATAAAGAATGCAAATAAAAACACCTAAGGTAAAATGGAAAACAAATAAGATGAGGAAAATACATAGTATAAAAATAATGTATATGGTGGTAATAATGATAAAGATATAAACAATGGGAAAAATAAAAAGATATATATAATAGTAATAAATAAATAAAAACTAAAAAACTAAAATAAATCACCATAATCAAATATGTACATGTAAACTAATAATAGAAAAATAATGAAAATGAAATAAGAAAATATATATATATAACAATAATAGAAAAAAAGTGTAACATAATAGCGTATAAAGTAAAACACATAAAGTTAATACAAACATATAATAACATTAATACCATTTATATAATAGCTAAATATAAGAGGAAAAAATATAATAATAATAGAAAAAAAATAAATAATGTAAATAAATATAATAATAAAGAAGTAAACAAATAGGGTAAAATACAAAATGTGTACATATATACATATATATATATATAATATAACATATAAGTGAAATAATAATATACTAATAATAAATATATACGAATGTGTAAAAAAAAATAATAATAATATAAAATATATATAAATATTATAATGTAATATAAAAAGATAATTAAAACTAATGTAAATAAATATAATAATAAAGAAGTAAACAAATAGGGTAAAATACAAAATGTGTACATATATACATATATATATATATAACATATAAGTGAAATAATAATATACTAATAATAAATATATACGAATGTGTAAAAAAAAAATAATAATATAAAATATATATAAATATTATAATGTAATATAAAAAGATAATTAAAACTAATATCCCGAGAAAGAACTAAAATGAAAGAACTGCAGGCTAGAGGTCAAAATTCAAAGCAATATCGGGTCAAGATAAATCTTTAGAAGCTGCGAGGGACCAAAAGGGTAGTTTACCCTAATTTATTGCAAAACACGGATCTGATATAAACGGATCAAATGTTTTTTTTCATTTCATTTCCTCTTCTTCTGGTCGAGAGCTTCTCCCCTTTTCTCTCCATCGTTCATCAAACGGATGAACACGGCCATGGGTTCTTCATGAACCCAGAACCCGGCCACCGTGCGCCGCCTCGCCGCCGCCGTTGAACGGTGACGGCCGCCGTTCATCGGCGGCAAAAATAAAAAGCTTTTACTTTTTTTGAAAGATCTTTGCACCCTCATTCCGAAAATCAACATGGTTTTTCTTAAATCGCCTCAGGGGAGTGTGAATCTAAAATGAGAGTTCCGAAAAACCCCCTTTTGGTCATTGACTCAAAAACGTTTTTTGGGTTCGATTCGAACCAGATCTCGACGAAAATACATGCAAAAGCGGTGAACAAATGAACAAGGTAAAAATAATTGCTACCTTCTTCTTATTTCCTTTTGAAACGTTTACAGTAGCTTCGATTTGCTTCGTACTTTTTGAGTGTTTAGTGCGTAATCTCTCTGTTATTTCTCCTATAAATCCCTCCTCTCTTCTGTGTTGATTTCCACCTTTATTTATAGTACAATATAGGGTTCTATGTTTTAAGAGTTTAACTCCTAATGAAACACTAATGTTATTGTGTTTGTTGGTGAACCGAGATGATCGGTTGTGGGTTGTTACTGAAGGATCTTATTGCTTCCCTTGCGCCGGAGAACTCGGACCGTGCGTGGCGAGGAGTCCTCAGCTGGATGGGTTTGCGGCGCTGATGAGTGAGAGGCTGCTAGGGTTTCCATTGCAGTTGGGTCAGCGTGTGGATTTGGGCCATTACTGTTGGGCCTGTAAAAGGAGAGAAGAAAAGAAGGAAAAAAAAAATGTAAATAAACATAATATAATATATATATATGTATGTATTATAAGGGACGAATTTAAGTGTAAATAAACTATATATATATTATAACTTATAACATAATGAATATATTATGAGCGACGAATTTAAGTGTCTTCAATACCAACATAATATTTTGTCTTAGAATTATATTATAACTTATAAAATATTACAAGTATAAAATTACATGAATAATAACATTTTATTTATATATAATTTAGAAATTATAAGAAATAATATTTATGTAAGAAATAAAATCTTATTACATTAGTAAATTCTAAAAAGGAAAAAAAAATCTGAGTATCATCCATAAACAAACAAAAATTAAACATAAAATAAAAATATATATAGAAAAATCATTTTGGTAAATCACGCAAGGCCTAATACGTAAACCTGTCCGAATTAGACTGATACTTAAGAAGTTGAGGGTGAAGAGAATCTGAAATTTCATCTCCCGCCACGCATGCATGTTGCCACGTGGACAGCGACAGTTCTCAAAATTTTGGCGGGTGTGGCCTTTTCATCTATCAACAGAAGAGCGGCGCAGAGCTGTCACCAGGAGGGGTATCTCCGTCTTTTCAATCACTCTCCCCTGTCTAGGGTTTATTGCTTCTATCCCTCCATGTCAGTTCTTCATTCTCACCTTGTTTTTTCCCACTGTTATCTGTTCTTCTCCTCAGCGAATGAAGAAGGTTTTTGATTGTGTTACTAAGTCGGTATTGCTCCGTCCATCGAGCTTTGAAAACCCTTTTTGTCATTTTCCTTTTATCATTCTGTTTTGATCGAAGTTCTTTACAGAGTTGCTTCACATGGGTATAATGGAACCGAGAGAAATGGTGGATATCAAAACAAATCATCTTCAATGCTTAAAAGCTTCCATCTTTTCAACCCATTTCTTTTAGTGGTACGTACTAATTTGGTTTCTGTGCATGATTCAGAATTCACCGAATGAGAACAAGAAGTTCTGCACTGATTGCAAAACCACAAAGACTCCTCTTTGGAGAGGTGGCCCTGCTGGTCCCAAGGTATATTTTCTTTTTCACTTTCTATTTTCATCGTAACAAATCAACAATTCTTCTCCTTTAGAACCTTGGGTTTGTCGCTTCTTTTCTTTTGATATCATTACCACGAGTCCTCTGGTAAGAAAGCTCACTGATGGGTTTCTTCTTTGGGTTAATTTCAGTCACTTTGCAATGCATGTGGGATCAGGTACAGGAAAAAGAGAAGAGCAATGATGGGCTTGAACAAGGGTTTAGAGAAGAAAAGGAAGAAAGAGATATCAGATTTTTCACACAGCAGCTCGAATACTTACACAAATGACGATGGTGATAAGAAGCTTATTAATTACAGCTTCAATGGACTGAGTAAGACTGTGAAGGTGAGATTATATGCTTTGGGAAGTGAAGTTTTGTTGCAAAGTTCATCATCATTATCTGGGGTGGTGAAGAAGCAAAGATGCCAAAGGAGAAGGGAGTTGGGAGAGGTAGAAGAGGCTGCTATTTCTTTGATGGCATTGTCTTGTGGCTCAGTTTTTGCTTGAGCTATGAAGAAACAGAGAAACCCAAAATGGGGATTACCTTCTCGAGAAGAACTAACCCATAAAGCTCCTTTCTTTTTCCCCATTTTCATTTCGACTTTTCCTGGGTTTTTGTTTTGCTGTCAAGTGAAACGAAAAATAGCCATTTTCTTGACGGTTGTACTGTTTTTACCTTCGGTGAAGAGAAGACAACAGGAAAGCAATTCATTTTTTTGGGAATGGCTGATGATGATTGTAAATACTACTTTGGGAATCAATGGACAATGAGAATTCTATGTTCCGTTATGAATGAATGATGATTCTAGCTAGCATTTATAGATTCTTTGAGGGGAAATCTATATTAAAGGATCATATTCATTTCTTCACTTTGGAAATGGTATGATTCTCAGTTTTGGAAATAGCATCACCAACGCTTTCCTTGATTCTTTCAAGCTAAAGTACCATTAAGCACTAGGTATAAGATTGTAAATTTGGATTCATTGATTTGTTGAACCTTGTCGATGCAATGCAAAGCATCCAACAGAGATGAACTATAAATCAAAAAAGGATCTGCCTGATTCTACTTAGAAAGGCTATGGATAGTTGTTAGAGATCTGGCTAGATGGGAAACAAACAAGGACCAAAAAAAAGGTGGAAAACAAGAATTGCTTTCATTGAGAGTCGAATTCAAGACCTCCCACTTAATAAACGGGTGCTCTAACCAACTGAGCTACGAAAGCTGATTTCCGGGTTTCCAAATAAATAAATTTATTCCTCAGAATTAAAAAAAAAATACTGTTATACCTCCATCCACTCAGAGCCGAACAAGGTAACAGATTCCTTAGCTGATATATATATATATACACGTATGTATGTATATGATGAGCTTATCTACTACAAAGTGGATATTTACGTCACTTCTTTGAAGGTAAAAGAATTGATACATGTAATATATAGGCAAACACCTCATCTCCTCATGGAACCAACTACAGTTAGAAATTCCGAACCCAGGGTGTTTAAAAGAATCAATAATCAGCTCCTTTCCTCGCTCAAGGAAAATTAATACATAATTAACTTATACAAAGCTCTGTAAAGATCAATCCTCAAACCCTGGTCAAACACCGCCTCCTTTCCCCCTCTTCCCCTTCTCCGAATGCCGAAATGAAAAATCGAAGAGAAAGAAAATAAGTAAACACGAACCTCTAAAGTGTATATGGGGATATTCAAGTTCCACACATTCTTACGCTGCTGGACAAGGAAATTGTTGCTTCTTGACATCTTAAGTAATCGGCTTACATGGAAGGTCAAAGTGTAAATCGTTAAGCAAAAAAGCCATGTTTGTGGATCAGAAGAGTATCTCCTTGAGGATTAGGAGGACCAACATGACAAAGCACATTATAACGAGCACCGTAGCACACATCACCATGCCTCCTTGTTTCTGTGTTCTCTCAGCCTGCAACTCGAATCCATACAAGATTTAGAATATGATTACTCAAAAATGTAAATGTGGGTAAATAATGGGCAAAGATGAATGACCTTTTGTAGTTGTTTGAGGCCTTCTTCGACCGTAGTTGCAACATTCTGAATGTTGTAGTCTATCCGATCGACAATGGTACCCTGTTTGGAAACTCCACTTAATAACTCTGAGAGAAGTTTGCAACTTATTATTAATGCTAGATGGATTTGTACCTGATCAATGACAAGAACTGACAGATCCTTCATAATCTGAGCAAGCTCATTTACGGAGTCCACAACCTACAAAATCCATTTTAATACATGCATAGATAATTCATTCCGGATAGCTATGAAAGCAGCAGAATCAGTTGACAAAAAGATCAAGAGCAATGCACTTGCCTGTTGAATCTCCCTTTCCCTCTCAACTGTTAATGCTTCACTTTGCTTTAACTTTGCCATCTGATGCTCACTAAATACCTACATGACATAATCGTGCACTATTAGAATCTTGACACCAAACTGGAATCAGATGAAAGACACAAATCCATCAAAACCTAATATCATGATTGCACAAGGAAAACATATGAAAGTTTGAGTAGGCACATTTTGGATCTTGGTTGCCACATAATTGACTGTCAAGATCCTAACATGTAACGTGGCATTCTGCTAAAACTCATGCTTCCTAAAATGTGTCCAGATAGATCGTATATACTAAAAGGAGGGTTTAAAGAAACCAGTATACCATATCATCCCAGTCATCATCTTCTGCTTTAGACCTATTTCCATTTATATTCATCTCTAGATCAACTCCATCCTGGCCCTACAAAAGATACCCGTAATTTAGTTAAAATATGCAGTGCAAAAAACAGAAATTGAAATTGTATGGGTCATTTAGCATGTGAAACTGCAACCAAATACTATATAAAAATGATTTGTCAAGAAGGAAGTTTCTTGTCTATACCTCTTTTTGCTGCTTAAGGCGCTTCAAATAAGTTGATTGCTTCTTCCGGAGCTCCATTGATAGGTTCTGAAGGTCAGAAGCAAGTTGACGCTGCAAAAAAGGAGAGCAGCATGAAAAGCAAGAAATGTAGACAAAAGAATAGATCAGAGTGTACATTATCAAAGGGAATAAAAAATTAAAATTATGTCAGAGAGTATAGAGGATAAAGCACTAAACATCAGCATTATTATCTTCCCTTCTTTAAGGACACGTGCATGGGATAAAAAAAAAGAATCAAAGATGACCTTTTTCTCACCATCACTCAGCATTACCTGGACATTTTTCCTGACATTTGAGTCTTCAGAAGGTCCAGTTGCAGAGAGTTTCTGCAATCTCTTCTCTGATTTCTTCAACAGATTAGTAATCTCATGGGCAAGAGCCTCAATAGTGCGTTGGTCTTCTTTACCATCACCAAATGAAGGCATTAAAGCCTTTGCATGGGCCTTCGCTAACTCGGCCATTTTTGTACGTGCTCGTTGCACATTTGCTGCTATTTCTTCAGATACATCTACCCAAGCTGGTGGTAGACCCACTATAACTGCATTTGCGCCCTTACTGCAACAGACATACAACCCTTATTTTCCTACTACAGAGTTATATGACCATTCAAACAGAGATATACATTAACTCAAAATTATTACCATTAAAAAAAACTCAAAACCATTTGAATGAGAACATGGACTTTAAAAGAAAACCCAATTGTAATTTATATCTACAATCCCTCATTGCAAAGCCTTGATCTTTCATTGTACTGCATAAAAGCACCTCATGATCTTTGTTAGCTCTTCCCAAATCATTCAAAATATCACACAGCTAAATAATTCTTGTAAGAACTGTTCAAGGATATCAATTAGATTCAACCACATTCATTTGTAAGCATCTCTTCGATGCCAATCCCTAAAAAATTAGTTACTTAACATATAATTCAACAATTTTGCTTAGCCTAAACTATATCAATTCTACTTCATATAAAAGGAGACTAATTCAGCTAAATTAACCTAACTAATTGCTTTCAAATAAATTCACTCTTAATAAAACGAAAACACAAGTATTGATCTCGATCTTTATTATTATAAAATTAATATTAGCTGCAAAGTTGAATTACCTTGAATTTCCAGGATCCTCGGTACTTAGAGGAGTATAAGAACGATTTGGATGGAGCAACGAAGTACTAACCATCTCGATCACCGGTCCTCCGCCGGAACTCTTCGGGACCGAGGACGATGCCAACGAACTCATCGGAATTCTTACACTCTTTAACGCATCCCTATATTTCCTAAATAACAGCGTCCGGTTCCTCGTCGCCATAGCTCTAGAACGAAAAATATATATTAACTAAAAATTTAAAAATAAAATCTAGATTCGGATTCAGATTAAGAATTTAGAGATCTAGAAATTGAGGTTTTCTCATGGCGGAGCTGTAAAAAAACAATAAGAGAGGGATGATCACGTGACCGGGGGTCGGCGATCGGCCGTTTAGGGGACAGTTGAAAAGAGACGAACGGCCGACTCAAGCGCCGGCGAAGGTGAGGATCGTTCTTAAAGGAAACCACCAGGAAAGTGTAACTATAAAGAAGAAAAAGTTATGGTAGACGTGGGGGATTATAAATATTTTTATAATTTTATTAGGCTCAGTGTTTCAGATTATAAGCGTAGTTACTGTTTTTAATCGTTTTTTAATCTTCATTTAGGTCGGGTTAAGTTAGTAGGGTCGGGTCGGGTCGTACTCTACGGTGAATTCCTCGGCCCGATCGAGTACTTTCAAGTTTTTATCTTTATAATAATATTATTTCGTTGACTGATTTTGATGAAAATAAATTCATTTAAATTTATTATATAACATTTTTAAAATAATAAAGAAGATAGTTAATAATTTTCGGTCGATATATTTTCTCTCTTTAAATAGGAATCATTAAAAAAAATTTAAATATAAAACGAGAGAAAAATAATTGAGTTAAATTACTAGTTTACTGCATGCAACACGAGATTAATCTCTGCACGAGTACGGAATGGTGGTTTTCATGTCAGTTTCATTATCTCATTTATAATCTTGTTACTTTTTGGAGGTATACAATTAAAGTTTAACATCCAACCTTGTTTGAGCAACTCAACAATACGACTGACGAGCATCCCGTGGAGGCTAAAAATGGGGTATTGCTCTGTTTTTATTTTATTTTCCAGTGCCTTTTTTATTTGTTATATCGTCAAGATGGCTATATTGGAATTCTTTTACATGATTATCATCTTTGTAGTTTTTCGAAGTGCCATAACTGAGTTTAGCTTTGAATTCTGATCCGTCCACTAAAAGGAATTGAGAAGAGGTTTGTTTGTTATGGACCCGAGTTTCAAACTTTAAATGAGTCTTACGACAGTTACAATATGGAAGTTTTTGGATGAACTACTTCTGGTCTAGATCGAGCGATCCATGTATCTTTTGCGTTCAAGGTACTTTTTCCTAGTCATATTGTGTTTAAGGTGTTACATAGATCCTGAGATTAATAGTTTATGTCAGAGAGTTTCTACTACCTTTCTATGCTGTTTTTTCATGTATCGTTTTCACTTTTAGTTGATTTGTCCGTGTAATGTTCATAATTGCCAGATATAATTTGGACTTCGGAGCGTGAGCTCAAGCTCCACTAATAGGAAAAGTTAGCTCTAGTGTTAATTTTGCTTACAAGTTTAGTATTGGTGCTGATTGACTTGATAAATTGTAGGTTGATATGTTATATGTTAGTTGGAGAAAAGGAGCTTTATAATTTCTCTTTATAGATTTCCTTTTACATGGTCTCAAGACCTTTCTATAGATTAAAAGGGTACATTATTATTATTATTATTATTATTATTATTATTATTATAAATTCAGTTGTGGTCATTTTTATTTACAGGTATGCCCAGTCTGTGCAATGAAAGTGGGAGTCGATATGGTTGCACATATAACACTACACCATGGAAATATATTCAAGATATCCTTTTCTGAGTTGTTATTTTTGAAGAATCGAGTTCCTCTTTAAACCATATCAATAAGTTATTTCTTTTTGGTGTGCCTTGAAAATTGTTATTGGAGTCTGCTACATTTTGGAGTTTGATTGCTCATTATCTTACCTGCAAACTTTATCATTGTTGTTTTTTCTCTTTGACTTTGGGGTTTGAAGAATCGAATTTCTCTTTAAACCATATCAATTTCTTCAAGTAAGCCCCACAAACAAAGCTAGCGATTTACTTGCGAACTTGTAGAATTGCTAGCTTTGTTTGCGGGGCTTCCTTGTAAGTCAGTCGTGTCATTCAAAGGACCTGACTTGGTATTTTCATTTCCTTAACAAGTGGTTACATGCAGCGCAAAAGGAAATCACATAGAAGTGGATCTCATTCAACACTGTCGCTCCTAAGGAAAGAGCTGCGAGAAGGAAACCTACAGTCTCTCCTTGGGGGTTCTTGTTTAGTGGCTTCATCCAATTCCGCACCTAATCCGTTGTTGTCTTCTTTTATTTTGCCCATGGTTGATGATTTTGTCGGGGTCCAGCCTCACTTTTCTTGGGAAACAAATACAACTGAGGATAGTTCAGAAGCAAATAAGTTGGAAAGGTAAGTTAAAGATTGTTCAATTGTTCTGTGTGCACAGTCTTTTATCGGGTTATACTTGCAATCCTAGATAACATGAATCTTTCCGTATCCTTCTTGTTCAGAATGGGATAGGTTCAGTTCAGCCCCAAGTGAAAAGGGCATCCAGACATGGTTCTATTCCCCCCCCCCCCTCAACGAGATGCTTTCTTTTTAAGCCGTTCTTCGTGACAATAAAGTAGGGACATGATGCTATTCTGTGAGAAAGAGGTTGAGACACTTCATAGGATGTCTCGATATTTTTTTTATCGAGAGTTTCTCACCGTGCATCATTATTGAAACCTTATTCAAAGGTGACCTATAATAATTACATGGGGTTTCATGCTTGGTCCTAGTTTTTCTTTTTAGTGTTATATTTTCGTTATGGTATACTTGAAATATATAGTGCGATCCATGTTTATCCGCTTTGCTCGTATGGTTTTGACGTGACAGAAATGTTCAATTGACTCCTCTTTCGGTCAAGGATCAGGAAGAGAAGACAAAAAGATGCAAGTTCATTCAAGGGCTGCTGTTGTCCGCGATGATATTTTATGACTGCCTTCAAATTGTTTGCTCCAACTGCAGACCCGAAAACCCTCGCAGACATCATGTTCATGGCACAGAGCCCTGCGATCTACGGTTTGATATGCTGTTTGTAGTGAAAACATTGATGTATTTAGAAGCAAAATGTTGAATAAGGCGTTGGAATGAATGAATGTAATTTATGTGGGATGTGGAGTTTTAGTTAGGGATGGGCATGGGTCGGGTTTCGGCCAACCCGACCCGACTGAAAATTTTACACCCTTCTCCCGACCTAATCCGAAAAATATATATCCTCCACTCGACCCGATCTTTTGTGATAGAATCCGAATCCGATACGACTCGAAATAATAAAAATATTATTTTATTCAATAAAACAATGATTTAATTGAAAAAAATAATATATAAAGGGATATTATTGTAATTATTCTTAAATATATAAGGTAAAATTATATTTTTTTCCCGGGTCGGGTTGGGTCGGATATTTTCTCCATAAACCCGATTCCGACCCAACCCGAACATTATCTTTAAAAAAATCGACTTGAACCCGAACTTTTTTTAAAAAAACCCATCGAGTTTAGATCTCATATCTATCTCTAGTTTTAGTTGTCATACGATCAGATGACCTATTCACCTATTAATTTTAGCTTATGATAGATAAATATCATGAAAATAAGAAAAATAATTTCAAAAGAATGGTGATCAAATGAGATTAGAGCACTTTTTGCACTCAAATGTCGGTGAATGGTCAATCTAAATCGATTTAAAAACCGGTTAAACTGCTAACCAAGGATAAAAAAAATAGGTAAAGTAAACAAATGATCCTTAATTATAAGGTTATGTTTTGTTGAATTTCTTGATTATTAAAAATTATAAAATGATTCTTTGACTATAATGTATTTTGTTGAGTCATTCGACTAATAAAAATTATAAAATAATTATCTGACTATTTATATTTTTCAAATTATTTTTTTATTAAAAATATTTATAGATGTCTGAGTTGAATGTAAGCTTATTAATTGGAATATAATAAAATTTGATCTCATAAGCGTTTGAGTTGTATTTTATGAATCGACTCTCCGCTCACATTATATCATTGAACCGATGTTTGAAATATTATGTCTTTTGAGCCCATGCTTGAAAGTAATGGTAGTGTTAATAAACATCATTAAAATATAATTTTATCATATCTTAATTAGACAATAATTAATTTTTTAACAAGAAAAGACGAATATGAAACATATGTCAGTCGGGTGGTTATTTTATAACTTTTAATAGTCAATGAACTCAACAAAACAATACATTATAGTCAAAAGATCATTTTGTAACTTTCAATAGTATAAGAACTTAACAAAGCAATACTCTATAGTCGGATAATCATTTTGGTACTTAAATTTAAAAAAAAACGAAACTAATTTTGTAACGTCAGTTGAAAAATTCAGTTTTTCCGAGTAGAGTTGAACTTTTGTTCACCCTAGCTCTTGAAGGCCTCCAGCGTTCTGGCTTGCAGCTGAAACGATTAGAATCCTGTGGTAGAGCCTACTTTGACTAGTCCAACGATCATGTAGACTTGGACTAACTTAAACCCTAAATTATAAACATAAACTCTAAATAAGATATCTAAATAATAAACATAAACCCTAATTGCTGCCCGCAACTTAACAAACAACAACAATATTGCATGATCGAATCAAGTAAAACTGCCACCACTTTGACTATCAATCAAGCAGTAAGGACGTAAAGATTGTACAAGAATTTGGCCATGCATTCACTGTTAATCATTTAGACATACTAAGAACACATAATTTTATACATTCTTTTTTTTTGGATAAATTAAATTATTTTATTACCCAAAGAACCAGAGTCTGCTACAAAATTAAATAAGTGTGATCGGATTCAATCCGATAAAAAAATAACCGAAAACCAATCCAAAAAAAACCGATAACTAAAAAATCGAAACCGATAAAAATCGATTGGATCAGTTTAGTTTCTGTTTGGAAATCCGAAACTAATCCAAACCGAACTGAACTGATATTTGGCGTGTCCATGCCTTAACTGAAGACTTCTTCTACGATAGCTCAGGATGAATAAGCTGTGTCCACGCTTTAAGTGAAAACCTCTTCTGCTCTTACTATTCATTGAATAAATCAGATTTCATTATCCAAAGAGCAAACTCCCATGTAATACAAGGTAATCTATACCCCATTGATTACAAAGTGTAGTATTAACACTATCATTCCTATTAATACTTCTACCCCTTAGTTGAATAGCAACAGAGTGTTTTACAGCATGGAGCAATGCTTCAAAATTTCTTGAGTATCCTTGGAATAACCTCTTGTTCTTCTCCTCCCAAACAGTGTAAATAAATGTTGTCCAAGCTAATTTCATAATGGTAGTGAGCAAGGATCTTCTTTTCTAAGCATCACAAGCCCAAGATAAGTGATTTCCCCATGAATGTGATTTCCTTCGCATGCCATTGAGGATGATAACCACATCCCATAGAGAAATAGCTAGAGGACATTGAATGAATAAATGATCTCTAGTTTCCATTGAGTCATTACAAAGCACACATTTATCGTCAATATCAAACCCAAAACGTTTCGGTCTGTCTTTAGTTGGGAGTCTGTCTAATATGGTCATCCATGCAATAATACTAAACTTAGGAATATGGAGAGGGAACCAAATCAGTTTGTGCCAAACGACTTTTAGCCATTTGTTTCGAATCAGAAGCCAAATTTCCTTAATATTCAGTGCACCAGAAGTTAGAACATGAAAAGCTTGGTGTCTCATGCTAAGTAAGCATTGAAAGCTCCAACTAGAATTAATACGAACGTCCATGTTCCAAAAATCAGAATCCTTGATTGCATAATTTTTTATCCAGGCAATCCACAAGGAACTCTCACCCGCTAGAATATTTCGGATCAAATGCATCATACAAGCATTATTCCAGGACTTTATGTCCTTAAGTCCCAGCCCTCCTTCAGATTTAAGGAGGCAAAGCTTTTCCCAGCTTACTCTTGCATCATATGCTGACTTGTCCGAACTTTTTCAGAAAAAACGCGAACACAGCTGCTCACATATACATGAAATTACACATTTTAATGACTACGGACATATATCTCAATCTCATCTTTGTAATTGATTAGCTGTGTGATTGCTTGCAGTAGACGACGATGTCGTCCGGCCATTCACAACACTGTTATCCATCAGTGGTGGATTCACTCCCCTTCAGATTCGGATGGCTCCATCACTTTCACGGTTCCATCGCTCAGCCCGATTGCAATTTGGTTTGCCTCCATCGGATGTGCAGCTACCACCAGCGGATATACTGCTTGGTTTTTGTAAAACAAACGGTAGAAAAATTGAAAGTTTAATCCAAGTTCATGCAGCACTCTGGGAAGAGGAATTAACAGAACTGCCAGTCCGGAACATGACAAAATCTGGTACAGGAAAAGCGAAACAAGACAGATTTGACAACCTGATCATAGAAGATGATAGTCCAGACGATGCTAACATCAATTTAGAACTATAAAACGGTACAAAGGAAAAACATGTCAGATTTAACGGTCTGATCATAGTAGACAATAGTCCAGATAAAAATAACATCAATTAGAATGCCGCCACAGCTTCCGTGCAGTTGAAAGGAATAAAACAGACAACTTACCCTTTTAGGATCGCTGGAGACAAGTGAACTGATGAAGCAATATGGCATCGAAGCCTCATGCTATCACCGTCAAATACCCCGATATTACCATCACAAAAGGTAGCATACACATATTGGCTATTACAGGAGTATGCTGCACAAGTTATGGGTGCAGACAGTACATCTTGAGGAATCCACTGCACCAAATAAATGGCATTAGTAAGTGTTCCCTCCGTCAAAAGCAAACTTTATATTATCAAAACCTATGCCATTTTTGTGTACTTTCCTACCTGTCGAATGTGCTCCATCTTTGAGGCATCATATATTGCTAACTGTGTTTCATGAACTACCGCATGCGAATTTGATCAGAGTGAAACTGTAATTGAGTTTCACCTGTAGGTGCTTTTCCAGCTGGGATTTGGATTGCAACTAATTTCCTTTTCTCCCATGTATCAATGCTCCACACACACAGCTGCAGAGAACAGCAAGATTTTAATAACATCGCTTACATGCTACCTCTCCATCCCATTTCCCGACTCTGCCAGTCAATAATATGACCATGACTCCATGACATTGTTTTCATAAATAAACATTGTAGCATTTCTTGGCCATATGAAGGAAGAAAAAATGACATAAAAAATGTTAAAAATACAACACTCAAAAAATAAATTAAATAGGTAAAAATGTGTAATGTACACCAAGATGATGGGACCTGAGAAACACCAAGGAAACTAAGTTGAAAAGCCAACTAATAAAATCAGTGCCTTTTCTGATTTTGTATAACCTTAAATTTTGTGTCATTTATATCCATAAACAAGTTAAGAAAAAAAATAAGACAAGCCTGGATACCACTTACATGAGTATCAGCACCTGAAGAAACCAAGATATTGAGGCTGGTTGAAAAGGCCAAACCAGTTATTCGCTTCTGATGACCTTTCAACTTTGATTTCACCTAAAAAAGAAAAAAAAAGTTGAAACATACTAGATAGGAATCAATTAGGGGAGCAAAATAGCACATGGGGAAGAAGAATCAATAAGCATATGTCTTCGGAGTTCGGAAGTGTCACCTCATTATAAATATGGATAGTTGAATCCTCCATTCCAATTGCAATGATGTTATTATCCTGAGGATGGAATGCTAAGAACGTTGAAGCCGGAGGAGGAGACATGAGTGTTGTCGTTACCTGCAAATCATGCGTTATTAGAGAACCGAACATAATGTGCATTTGACACACAAGAACGTGAAGGCATACCCTAAAAGTCATCAAGTTAAACAAAGAAACTTTTCCCCCAGTGGCTGACAGTACATATGAATCATTCTTTGAGACTGCTATGCAGGGCACAGCTTCTTCCAAGTTGACGCCTATGACATCATTAGTCATAAGACCACTATTTGGTTGCCAATGGTGTGGAACAACATTGGCAGTGGCCTTTAAAGTTTAAAGGAGATCAGAGTTCTTGGCAATAAAAATGAATTTTATAGAGTAAATGTCAAAAGCAAAAGAAACAAT